AATAATAATAATAATAATAATAATAAATAATAATAATAACACTGTTAACAATTCTGAACCGACTCTTAACGATTCAAGATTTATTAAGATAAAATGAAGAAAAAAGGATTTCAGAAACTTAATCAAAGATAAAAAAGAAAACATTCTTCTAGGTTATAGCATAAGCCTTACAGCGATAAAGAAAATAATGAAAGCGCAGCAGACAAATCACGAAGATTAAAACACATAATCATACCAAACGTTTTTATTTGCCATGCTGCTTTCCTTTCCGCGTAGAATTCCCCGTGCTTTTCAATAGAGACTGTGCCATTTATTTGGATAGTAACGGAAAGCTGCATCCAAATCGACAAACCTACATTTGACCAAAGATGATCAGAAGAATCCTGTGCAACTTTCGTCAGATCTGCCTATTCAATGATATACTGCATTTCCTTCTTCAGTGTTCTCATTTTCAGTACATTTTTCCGACGGTGTGTCCAAAATTCCGAATTCAAAGAAATAAAAAGAAAAGAATCATCCTTTACCCCATATAGTGTCCTAGTTCTGTTTGAAGATATTGGAAAGGGTGGATTGTTTCTGGGATGTGGGATGAAATTCGTTGATTTGACACTCATGTAAATCAGTCAAAGCTTTTGCAACTAAACCAGCCGATAATAACTGATTTATTGTAAACCTTGCAGGCAGCAAGTGTAAGCAGCATATGGCAATTTCACACTACTCTTACAAGCTGAATCATGTTCTCATCCAAAAACATAAATCAGAATGAAGCTTACAAAACAGAGTCTTCCCAATACACCCTTTCCGTCCGTATCTCAAAAAAAATAGATCTAACAATTTTTTCTTTAATACCTCGAACTGCCTCTCTTCGCCTGAGCCACAACAAACTCCAAGTCTGCTAATGATGAATTAATCGCAAAAACCCACTGAAAGAAACTTTGAACAACCCTGAATTTTGTTTCCGTTCCAACTCAAAATCACGACTGTTATTATCAACACACCTCACAACGGAATGATGTCACTTATAAGTTCAAGAAAGTACGTTCTCAGTCATTGGTTTGGATCCTGATGACAGCTTAAAAAACTACGCTGTCAAGCATCTTGCAAACATCAAAAAGAGATTAATTCTAGAAATACAGATTCAATCTTCGAAAACTTAAGTTTGCTGATTTAATATCAAGAAGTTATCATGGCTGTTTGTAAGATGAAGTCAACGTTTCCAAAAAGCTGCCATCAAGATACACTGACGACAAATTCAGAGATGGTTTAAGGTATTTCCCTCACACATTCTTTATCTCAACTAGAAATATATGAAAATTACATGATAAAAAATTATGGAATTCGGGGAAATAAAGCAAAGCTTCAGCAACCATCTTTGAATCCATCTCTGATCGTAAGAATAACATCGAAAGAAGGTGAATTCATGAGACCTGGCAAAAAATTACAATGAATTTGATTTTTTTCTCCCAATTTCATATTCCAAAGTTTTTCTCGTCTTCTTGGACTGTCCCCCCTCAACATCAACTTTAAATAATATCACCAGAGGCTCAGCAGAATTCACCAATTCTTTGGATGAAGCGAGCCCGCACATCAATGTAGAGTGGAATCTATATATTTGAAATTGACTGCTTTAGAAGAAAAGAAGAAAAGAAATTGCGTACAATCTTCCTTTTCGATTAAAATGTAAAATTGAATCCTGAGAGAGAATAAAGCGGTCAATTTCAGATTTACAATAAACAGACTTATTTCGCGCGCGCGATTTGGGTGGGAAAGTAGCACTAAAATTGCTGATATTATTTGGTCCGAAATTTCTCTTATAAGAATATTCACGTAAAAATTAGCACGTCATTTATAAGTGTTCAATGGAAGAACTGAAAAAAGTTTCTTAGTTTTAATTTTAACATAATTCTTCAAGACATCTGAATTCCTTTCTTTTAGAACTTTCAAGAAATGCTCTCGATTTTAAGCATACTAGTGACTTAAGATAATTAACAGGGAGGGTCCTCCCAAAAATCATATTCGAACAACAAATGATATTAGCAATTCTTCTGCTATTTAGATGACAACGTACTTTATTCAACTTAATCCCGCAGAGGCAGCAAAAGTTATAAATTCTTTAATCCAAAATTTGAGAATGAGATTTTCTAATTTCTCGAAAAATGAATAATTTACTGCCTCTGACCGGAAGCGTGTTGATTTTTTAAAAAATTGGATATTTCCCACAAAAAAATATTAAAATTCTCGAGGGGGATAAAGTAACGCGTGGCTGTCAGCTTAATATATTTTTACTACAGACTTACGTTAATGTCGTATTGTCGCCAATGTTCTGTTTGTGCTATTATCACTGTCTGTCTCAATCTCTATTAATCCTAAATAATTTTCATTCTATCGACAAATAAATACCTTAGCATCTTCGAGACGGCCCATCGCTTTCAACAAGTTTCCTAGATCACTTCGCACACAGTAAAGATCCTGAATAATCATGAAACGAATTAGCAAAAAAACAACAAGAAAAATGGATGAGGGAACTAAACCAATATTTAATTCGAGTGCAAGAATCATCCAATAAAATTGTAGCCACAGTAGGAAGCTTCACTTGTGTCACATCATATCAGTAATATGAATACAATAACACAGTGTTCAATGCTCAATAAACTTGATATGATACTATCAGACTTAAACCTCAATCACTTACGGGATTGTACTGAAGCGCAGAAACATATGCATTCACAGCTTGATCCAAATCACCAGTCGCGACCAACGCAGCTGCTAGATTGATATATCCATCAATAAAGTCTGGTTTTAGTGATACCGCTATTTTATAATTTTCTAGTGCTTCTGCTAACTGATTGCGTTCCTGCAAGTTGGAATAACTTTTCAATCAAACGTTATTTAAGAGCATACGATCACTGCTATCGTTATCATCTGCTATTAATATACATGCTCTAATAGTTTGTCCAAGGGCATCTTTTCACTTTGAATTATTAGTATGACAATAAATGTTATTGGGTCTTTTTAATATTCCGTTAAGGTTTGCCAAAGTAAATCACACGAATAACCGGACCTTGTATACATTGCCCAAATTACTGTACGCTTCAGCGCATTTCGGATTTGCTTTAATTGCCATTGTTGAAAATTGCATCGACCTTAATTAAAATTGCTCATGAAATTAACCACGTAACACAAATATTTGTAATTCACTTCTATACAACCTCAATAAGGAAATTATGAGGAATGGTGGTGGAAGAAATCAGACGACATGACGAAAGCTTATTTTTTGCTTTGATTTCAAAGAAAAGGTTACTTTTCTGAAAAGCCAATTATAGGAGTATAACGTAAAAAGGAGCCAAAACAAATTATATAACAAATGGTAACTTCCACTAAAAGAAAATCATTTGCGATTTCAATACGTACTTATCAAGATCCTTTAGTTGGAAGTGTATGGAAGAGAGGAGAAGTAAAACGCTGACGTTGTTTGGATCCGCACGCCAAATTGTCACGCAATGCTGTTCAGCATTTGCATAATCACCGGATTGATATTCTCGATGTGCCATGTCGGTTAGTGCTACAAAATGAAAAAATGTTAAAACTGATTGACAAATTGCCTAAATTATATCACACATCAAAAACTCGAGCATATTCGGTATCTGAAAATCAAGTATTAATTAATACTCGACCTTACTAATTTTTCATGTTTACATAAAACAGTATCTGTATTCTACGCTGCTCCACATATAGATGTTCAACCTTCGCATATTTTCATTTTAAAAATTGATCAATATACTTGTTCATTCGTCTTCAAAATTAACGTTACTAAAAACCACTGTTTACCCTGTATATCGATGTTTACAGCAACCGGTGCACCAGCACTTGTAAGTGTTGCGGCCACATGTTGCTGTTGTGCTTTTTGTACTGCAGCTACAACTGCTAGTGGTGAACCAGAAATGACTTGGAGCTGAAAATATAAATCATATCTGATTAATGAATAACGACTGTCTTGCAGGAAAAAGTTCTGCGAACGTCTTGGAATCAGGCAAGCAAATGGTTGATGCTTTTCAGTGGAATAGTTCCGATAACTTGGATGACACAGCATTATCTTACATAACAGGAAGACATCTCGCATCATCATTAGCTTGATGATATTTCTTACTTCAAGTTTCCGAATTTATAGTTCTCAAGAAACGATCATTTTGCTACAAATTACTATTTTCAAACATATTGCAACCTTAATAAATCAAAAATGTTGTTTGATTACTGTATTCACCGTACGGTATCACGTCACATTTTGTCACAACTGTTCTCTTCAAAAAAAATCGCACAATCAAGAATAAACACTTCTGGGCACTCCGTCGTGAGTTTTCTTTATTAACTAATAAACCCTATCTAAAATTAACAAAACAAAAATTTGTCAAAGTTTAGCTAGGTTCAACTCATCATTTCACATCTGAATTTTCGCCAATAACATTTATCACTAATGCAGAATTATCACGTTCTAATTCATTATGGAAAAGCTGGAATCTTTGTGCCAGACTGATCTTTCCTACGATTTAGAACCTTGCTGAAATTTGTCAATGATAAACTTAAATTTGTTAAATCCTGAAATCATGTTTGGAATTTTTCTACCGTAACTCCAAATCATTATATAATGATCGCCATGATAATCAAAAAGCTTGAAATTTAATCGGGGACTTCCACTGCAAGAAGGAAGACATACCTTTGTACCAGTAAGGTTCGATGGGTCATATGGATGAATAAAGTACTGCGGCTTGTTCGGATCCATTTCCCAAAATCACGCTGCAAAAACACCACAACACGAAAATTATACACTGAAAAATAGAACAATTTAAAAAGCTTCAAATAAAAGTACAAAAATTACCCATTTACGCCATCAGTAACAGCAAGGTAAAGTTTAATAAAGAGAAAGAAATTTTTCAAATCACACTGAAATCATGTCGCATTAATTCTTCATGTTAAATTAAAATCTTAAGAGAACACAAAAGATAAAAAAAACGAAGAGTAAATCTTAATGTATTCGTTTGTCCAGTAATTATCGACACATAAAATCTGAAGAAAGCTGAGCTACTCCTCACAACTAATATTATCCAGTTGGAAGCAGTAATTCCGTAATTTAAAACATCATGGAATGAATATATCCATGAAGAGAGATCTGCTTTACAGAGAAGAATAGGAAAGTTTTACTGTGGAAAATATTCCTCTATTTTTGAATACGTAACTTCGCATAAAATTTGCGATCCCTTTTTTAATATTACTTTAATACTACACTTATTTCATAACTTCTAGCTATTGTGCATAATAATTTCTCATCCAATCAAACACTTATTCTACAGCTAGTTTAGCTATCATCTGGCTTCTTCCTCAGTTCCAATCATAGATCTAATATTACCACCATTTCTCGCTTCTTTTATCAACAAATTATTTCATCATCAATTACCACAAAGACATCATTTTATCGATATTAAAAACCCAAATTTATACGTATACGTAACTTTCATGTGTCTTCCGATGTTAACAGTAATAATACCTATTCTTTATCAACACTAATTGATGGATACGGTAACTGGCAGTAATACAAAAGAAAATGCAAGTTGGAAGAACGAAAGTCGTATTTGTTGATAAGGGCTTATTACACACACACACACACACACACACACACACACAC